TCTCTTTAGAAAAAGGTACAGAAAGCTTCAGCAGGAAATGCCCTAAGATGCTTCCCCAGGGAGTACTTCTCCACCAAGACAATGCTCCGGCTGATTTCTCTCAGGAAATAAGCCATATTTTGATGGTATTAATGGTGCAAGACTGAACATCTCCATGTGTGATCTTTTTTTAAATGGCTCATGCAGTGCAACACCCCCCCCTCCCCGCCTCCCAGAGACACTCTACTTAAAATACCAGTCGGAGGCTGGGAGATGGAGGCACTGGCCAAAGCTGGGAGGACAGGACCCGACGTCCGATAGGGCTCTCACTCCCGGCCACCGAGTCCACACCGACCCCTAGTGACCCTGTAGGGCAGGCTCGAACTGCCCCTGTGGGTTTCCAACACTTTAACTCGTGACGGGAGCAGAGAGCCTTGTCTTTCTCCAGAGGAGTGGCTGGTGGTTTCGAACTGCTGACCTTTCAGGTGCAGCCCAACCTGTAACCACCACCACCACCAGGACTGCTCCCACAAGGGAGCCTGATCATAAGCAGTAGGCTGGAGGGTTTTTTTTTTGAGGGGGGTCGTTACTGTTTTAAACCACCCCCTAAGAAAACAGGTGCCTCAATACCCATGGCTGTTTGGAAACTACAGAACCTTCTGGATGTAGGGGTGCACTCCCGGAACCAAGGGCTCATGAGAAAATGCACTAGGCCAGGCTGGCTTTGCTCAGAACCCCAGTAAGTTGTCAGGGATAAAGATATCTTAAGTATAGAATTCTGCGCCCCACCCCTGGGTTGAGTGAGTGAGTGAGTGAGTGTGTGTGTGTGTGTGTGTGTGTGTGTGTGTCTTATAAGCCCCGTGAGCATTGTGTATGGGACACCTTGTCCCTTTGAGCTGTTGTAAAGTTTGTGTATTGCTGGGGGGCTGGGGACGTTGTGGTCTCTGCTGGTCGCTGAGTGCAGAGTCCGTAGGTCTATCCAGTGCCCACAGGCACTGGGAGGTATGTGCTGTGCACACTGTAATATGGAATCAAGGGAGGAGGGGGCACAATTATGTATTTTTAAATAACCAATGTGATCGGATATAAATGTTGTAAATAACTGCCAAAGGCATATTAAAGGAATATTAAAACAGAAAAAAAGAGAAATAGAATCGAGTCCATGGAAGGCTCAATTCACTCAGGGATGACACATCTCGATGAATTAGCTAGAAAACTTGAGAATGATGTACAAATGCGCTTTACACAATTGATGTGTGTATGGATTGCGATAACAATATCGGACTATAGTTTTAAAAAAAAACTATGAACAAATTCCTATGCACACTGCACATATCTTATTTTGAAGTAAAAAAACAAACGGGGCAAAAACACCCAGCAGGCCAGATAAATGTCCTCGGAGGCCGCGGGCTGGCTGTAGTTTGAGAACGCCTGGTCTAGAGCCTAATTGTCCCGAGACCCAGAGGGCTGAAAGTGGGAGCTTTCTATCAGGGAGAGGACAAGGGTTACGGGGGTGGGGTGGGGAGGGCAGCGTCCCTTAAAATCCCAGAGCGAACAGCTTCATCTCTCTCCTACAGAACAGAGGATTGGTATGAACTGGGCACCTTTAGGTTAACAGCCCGATGCTTACTGAACGTGCCACCAGCATGTCCTGGAAAAACATTGTTCCAGGGGGTGAAGAGGGTCTCTTCTGAGAGCTGGTCTGCTACAAAAATCACAGAAATCTCCAGGATCACTAAAATCATCTCAATCCCAAGAGCCCTTTATAAAACAAACTTGATCAATGATTCTTGGGAGCCCAGTCATGCTACCTCACCCCCATTTGATTAACTTGCCAGGCAAGTGATTTAAAGGTTTCTACAGCTGATTAACAGTCTTCCTTAGGAGACAAAGCAAGGAACCACAGGGAACGGGAGGACATCCTGAATCACATCTCAGGATTTATTCTGATTCAAAATTGCCCTCCTGTTGTGCTGGGAGGAGATCAATTACCCCACAGGCTACTTTAATTAACAGTTAGTAAACCTTTATTAGCAGGCGGTCTTGGAGCAGCTAGAGCCTAATTCTCCCAAGAAGCACAGTGCTTAAAGCCCTGGATAGCAACCAGGCAGGGTATAGAAAGGCAAAATCCCTATCATGTTTTTCAAGCTGCAAAGTACAAGACTCCAGCTGCATCCTGTTTCCCCCCTCTGATTAGCCTAGCTGATTACAGAAGCTAAAAGAAGCATGAGTCTACAATCACACCCTGGAACAGGGTGGGTGGAGGTAGAAAGTTCTCCCAAGGCTACAAACTTAGGCTGAAAAATTACCAGGACAGTTTGACATAGCAAGCTACCAACAGGGCAGTGGGCTCTAAGGGACATGGCCTTAAAGCAAGATGGCATCCCCTACACTTCCCTGGGGGGCCGGCCAGAATATTGGGGGTAGGCTGCAGGAGGGTTACACTGACTTGGAGAAAGGGTAACTTGGATACAGAGGCACAGTGCTCAGGTGGTGATTCAGTGAGTGGGAAAAGGGGAACTTGAAGGGGGGCGGGGGGTTAGGCACCTATCAGCAATTTAAAAAACACCGTTCAACAGTTACAGAACACAGCAGTTTCCAGAGGAATTACAGAATTTGCAAATTGGCCATCCTTGGGTGAGTACAAATGGCTATCCTCAAGCTAATTAATACATTATGGAAAAACAACATTATGGTTACATTGTGAAAATGGCAACTACTGTACTACATCATGATTACACTGGCGTTGTGGTGGGTTACTCCACTCCCACCCCTAGATGGAGATGTCTGCCTAAACTTACTAAGTTTCAAAGGAATCTTACTGCCAGGGAGGGGCTGTTTGTTACATTTAAATTTGTAAGAAGCTACAGCCCAATCAGGCTGTATCTCCACCGTTTGACGAACGGCTCCCTCCTCCAAAACCAGACAAAATGCCTTCACCAGAAACCTGGCCGAAGAAAGACTGACCTTCGAAAGCCTTTTCCTCGTGATCTTCCAGAATCCCTGCGGACCACGGAGCGTCTCCGTTTGAGATCACACCGGAGGCCCGGTGGTCTCCGGCCGGCCTCACCTGCAGGCGTGTCTCGCTTAAGACATACCTGGGTGTCCCTTGGAGTCGCCGGTCTCTCTGCCCACCCACCCC